ACAGGGACTGAGGCTCTCTCGGATATAACCCTTACTTAGTAGCTCTTGGACTTGTTTTTCGAGCTCTTTAGTCTCTTCGGGGTTCATCCGGTATGCGGGTCGGTTTGGCAAAGGTGCTCCTGGCACTAGATCGATCTGATGTTCGATCCCGCGTATAGGTGGTAGGACCGAAAATTCTGTCGTAAATATTTTGCGACAAACCGACGACAGAATTGCGACAGATATTAGGTGACACACCAAACACGTGTCTACCTAATATTGCGACTCACCGAATTAGTCGCAAATCTGTCGCGTGTGACACCCGAATCCCGCATCCCGTGAAGAGGATATGCCACGTGGACAAAAACCAATAAAATATAATAAAACCCAAAGTACAGGAATTAAAAACCGTTTTTTTTAATACAGATACGCAGCGGAATAAAATCGTCACATGTTTTTCGAAAACAACAATGTCCAAACACACAATTAAACACAACCGTTTCTACACGGAACCTTGTTCCACAAACCAAAACGTACAAAATAGGATCAGTTATCCGTACATAATGATGCCTTCACAAAGTCGTCGCCGTCCAAAGTGCGCTACTCGTGCTCCTCGGGATCTGAAAAATTCAACAAAAAAGGGCTAAGCAAAAAGCTTAGTGAGCGGCTCGGGTTAAGCCCGGAGAGCCCATTCTCATGGAGAACGGTGCCAACTAATCTCTCAATACAAGAATTTCCTTTTCATCCATTTAACTTTTTCTCATTAACCCCTTTTAATACATTATCATTATTCCATATATTTTCGATACCTGATAGTACTGACTCAAGTCGTCCACCGGCACCATCAGGTACCATTCCTTTCGGTATCATCTAGTACTGACTCAATTCGTCTACCGGTAGTAGACTCTACCCTACTTCTCTACCAGCCTTTATCAGAGCCGTCTCATAGGGAGTGCCCGGTCCGAAGGCTCTGCGTTCCCCGATCTCGGTCCAGCATAGTGGCGTCTTGCATGGCCTCCCGTACAGTGCTTCATACGGTGATACCCCAATACTCGCGTGATGACTGTTGTTGTATGCGAACTCACACAACGTCATGTACCGATCCCACGGAACTCCCCATTCTAGTACACATGCTCGGAGCATGTCCTCCAAGGTTTGGATGGTTCGTTCCGACTGGCCGTCAGTCTGGGGGTGATACGCTGTGCTCATCTTCAACTTCGTACCCAACGCTCCCTGTATAGCCTTCCATAGACGAGATGTAAATCGAGCATCTCTATCGGATATGATTTCACTTGGCACTCCATGCAGCCGTATGATTTCATCGACGTATATTTGTGCCAATCGCTCGATCGTGTACTCCTGTCTGATAGGGATGAAGTGAGGAATTTCATCAATCAGTCCACAACTACCCAAATGGCATTTTTCTTACTCGGGGTAAGTGGTAACCCAATCACAAAATCCATCGCAATAGAATCCCATTTCCATTCCGGAATTTCCAACGGTTGTAGTTTACCACCCGGCATCTGTCGTTCCGCTTTCACTTGCTGACAGGTAAGGCATCTTGCTACGAAATCAGCCACATCCCTCTTGATTCCCGGCCAGGTGTACCACCGTTGTAATCCTTGGTACATTTTACTCGCCCCGGGATGTATAGCTAGTCTGGACTGATGTGCCTCCGATAATATCTCCCGTCTCAACACCTGGTCATCTGGCACACATAGTCGGTTACGCAGTCGCAATGCTCTCTTATCATCGATACGGTATCCTTTACGACCGTACTCTTCTATACCGTCCATGTACCAAGCAAGCAAAAGATCGTTACGCTGTCCAGCGACCGCTCGTTCTGCAAAGGTCGGAATTGGTTCCACCGGTGTCAAGGTCAAATGTCCCAGCATAGCTACCAGTTCAGAAGCATTGTTGCGGGACGACGTCACGACATGGTTGACAGACAAAATCTTCTTCCGACTGAGGACGTCAGCTACCACGTTAGCCTTTCCCGGGTGATAAGCAATCTCCAAATCATAGTCGGCAATGAGTTCTAACCATCGTCGTTGCCTTAGGTTCAAATCTATCTGGGAGATTACGTATGTCAAGCTCTTGTGGTCAGTGTTAAGCTTAACATTTTCCCCGTACAAATAGGACCTCTAGATTTTTAAAGCATGCACTACTGCCGCTAACTCCATGTCATGGGTCGGGTAGTTTTCCTCATGCTTTTTCAATTGCCTCGATGCATAGGCAATGACGTGTCCTTCTTGCATCAATACACATCCTAGTCCCTGTTTGGAGGCATCAGTGTAAACTTCATATAGAATTCTCGGGCGCGGCAATGTCAAGATCGGTGCTGAGGTAAGTCTCCGTTTCAGTTCTTGGAAGCTTTCCTCGCACTCCGTGGTCCATTCAAACTTAATGTTTTTCCCGTTACGAAAATACTTTTCATAAACGAACTTTTAGACTAAATAGATGACATATCTTATTATTCCAATAAATCTGACTATGCTATAGACTGAAGTGTAGTCCGCTCTTTACTTATTTATTTATTTTTAGTTTGACGACGAGATGGTACTAAATGGTATTGAATCACATTCAATTATAAATCGATACTTTTAAATTTTATATATTCAACGTACTAAATAGTAAATAATTGATATAAAAGATAATTCTATTACCAGACAGGGTTCGAACCTCCTAGTTAAAAAATAAAGATGTTGAAACATTTATGTCAATCATTCAAATTATTCTGTTCTTTATTTTGATTTATTTGATCCTCTCTCTTTATTTATATATATATATATATATATATATATCCTATTTAGGGAAACTAACATTTCCATATATCAATTTATAAAAATTATATCAATTAATAAAATTGTATCAAGGGATTTTATTAATTGATTAACACGTTGACGGAAAATTCAAATACATATATTTATTTGAAATAGTTTTAAAAAATTCATGATTTGTTATGATATTTTTCCTATATTAATAAATTATAAAAAAGCTATGATATTGACTTGTACTGTCATCCACTAACCGGAGCCGTCAATCCGGATTGAACTAAACTCTTTGGGACCCGAACCGAATCTATAACCAAAGTAAACCAAACGAAATCGAACATCGCCCCTCTTCCCTTCGTCCATCGCTTTCGACTCATCTACCGCCGAGACCAGCATCCTCGCGAGGCAAGGAAAATTCTCCCATCTGCGATTTCATCCTCATCGCCGGAATCACTTCAGGTGGCCGAAAAATGAGGTAACTTTACGTTGTTTGATTACGGGTTCGATAGAATAGGGATTTCTGGGTTTAGGGTTTTGGCTGTGGGTATATCGTACGTCGTCTGATCGCCTGTATTATGTGAAATTTTTTTTTATTGTTCAGTCGGGTTTTGGCTCTTGTGAACTAGTTTTCGAACTTCGTTTTCGCTATTGGTACTAACCTAATAGACTGAATTGGGAAATGAATCGTTTTTCCTGCAGTTTTCGGTTCATTCAGAGGCAGAACTTTGCTGTCTTGAACACTGTTCGTCTGTGTTCGTCTGCAAGCCCTTTGATGGCCAACGGAAATGGCCACGAACTGAGAAAACTAGGGTTTGATTCTGTCAGTTCGCCTGCATCTTATCTGCTTAACTCTGTCCGGAGGATCGTATCTTCGTCTTCAATGGTATCAGTAAGTTACTGCTTTTTGTTTGCGTTTCTGGGATTCATTTGTTCATGTTGCTTCCTTTCGTTGGGCAGAAGGAAAAGGAGAAATTTTTCTGTTGAATTGAATAGAAGAAAATGGAGTTTTTGCTTTGTTCTTTGGTTGGTATGGTTGGAAATTAGTAAAAGGGTAAGAAACATCGAGCCTTGGTTCTGAAATAGGAAATGCATCTGGATCCGTCTTCAAAGTGATGGTATGGAGCCTTCGGTTGATGAAGCTCATGATCTGAATCATCATTAGAGACAGTAGTGTATACAAAAGAACAAGAAATGACTTTTTTATGTTGGGCGTTTCTGCTTGTTATTTTTTCGAAGTTCCTTGCTGTTGTCCTCCGACCCTAGCCAATTAACAACGCAGAAATAGAGGAACCTTTTCCAAATTTTTTGTCATTTCATCAAGTTGTGAATACTGACAGCTTGTTGTGATCCATTAACTGATTTCGCATACTCCCTCTTCCTAATTGTAGGTCCCATGACAGTGTTTTACTCTCTAGTTCTTTGATTGTGTTAGTGTTCGAAACATGACTTCTGTGTGCTTGATATGATTGGTCGAGACAGCATGGACGGATATTTACAGCTACAAGTTCATCAAGGGGCTTTGCCACCACTGGAGATTCTGTCCAACCGTTTGATTCGGCTTCTGATGCACCTCCAAGGATCAAATTCAAAAGGCTTGATAAGACTGCAAAGCATATAATGCAGGTATAGCACCTGTTCTCAATCGTCACAGAGTTACTTGTGTAAATGTCCTACAAATTGATGCTTCTATCTGTACCTTCTGCAGATTCTAGATAAGGAGGCAGTTGGGGAAGTGAGAGCTCAAAGAGAGATACCTGATATAAAGCCCGGTTACATTGTTCAGCTCAAAGTGGTAATATTATTGACCTTGGCACAGATTCATTCCATTTGTGAAGAAATTGCATGCAAAAATATCTTATATTTCGTTTCCATTGCCCAAATGGGTGAAACATTTCATTGACGTTTGTTTACTCTATTGCGAACTTTCGCTTGTTTGAGCAGGAAGTGCCTGAGAACAAGAGGCGTGCTTCAATTGTGAAAGGCATTGTCATAGCAAGACGTAATGCTGGTCTCAATTCTACATTTAGGATTAGGAGGCTTGTGGCTGGAGTTGGAGTTGAATCGATGTTTCCCTTGTAAGTTCTTCAGTCCCTCTCTCTCTCTCTCGCTAACTTTCATTTCTTGCCTGGGCTTCGTACTATTTCTGCTGCATTATAGATTGATAATGATTCACCAAATCGAAGATAGCAGGCTGATGTGATAAGAGAATTGTGTTAATCTCAACTCTCATCCTGCCCTCATAATCCCATATGGGATCACACTCGAAACCACTTCTAACCATTGGTGAAAATCTCATTTGTAAAATCCAGAATCTCTTTTTACCCTTTTTTTTACTATTGTCGACTCCCATGGAGCTACTAGAAATTTACTGTATCAAAACTTTGTCTAAGCACCCTTTGCCCTCTTAGCATGGCTTCTTCTGGCTATGGAGATCAATTTTCTTTCATGTTTGGAGATCATCATAAACAGCATTAAGAGTTTAATAAGATCTTTCCCGTACTTCCTTCTTGTTTGTGGCTCAGACCCGAGTCCTGCTGTTGCGATATGGCTAATAAGCCGGTGTCTGGTGACAGGTATTCCCCGAACCTGAAGGAGATTAAGGTGCTGGACAAGAAGAAAGTTAGAAGAGCCAAACTTTACTACCTCAGGGACAAGATGAATGCACTCAAGAAGCACTAATCTTAGCATTTCCCTGCCATCCCTCGTCCTTTTTTGGAAGGATTTTCGAGGTAGATTTCCATATTTTTCCATTTCTTGTCTGATCGATCTTCGAAAATAAAATGCTGTAGACGATGTTTGTTTGCCTCACAAAAAGTTTTGTGCTCCTTACCAATCCATTGTTATATCATACGCCACCTTTGGACCCCTTCTCTCAATTCCTCAATCTCTCCATCTATATTCCTTTTGTAGTGTGGTTATAAATCAATTGCGATGGACCACGGGCATGTATTAGGGGTTTTAATCTTTCTTAAATAGAGAACTTCTCTTTATCCAACTATTTATATATAATGACAAATCAAAGATATTGTTTTATTTTGATGGAAATCTTGGGGGAATATTTTTGTTTTCTAAAACAAAAACAGAAATACTAAATGTAAAATTCATTCAAATCAAACATATAGAAAACAAATTTGCCCAAAAAACCTGGTAAAATTAATATCAATATAATTTTTTTTAGATTGAGTTCGAAAATTGGAAATTAGTAGCTCAATCCTAAAATAAATTGAGTTGAGAAGCAACATGTTGGTACCACGGGGAAAGACAAATACGAAGAATAAAAAGAGAAATAAAAAAAATGGTAAACCAATAAGAAAATGTTAATTTTAAATGAAAGATTAAAGGAAAAAATGATCGTTGAGACAATTTTTCTTCCAATATTTACTAATCAGAATTAGGGATATACACAACAATACTGTTGTTCACTGAATGAATAAACAAGATTAAAGAAAGACAGATATACACAATAATACACATTGGACATAATTTTTGTAAGCATACATATATTTAGAGGGAATTATTGTATATTTTTAATTTCGATTAATTTTGAATAATTATTGTTTAAATAGTAAAAAATATTGTTTTTTATATTTTTTTTGTAGACAATAAGAAATAAATGAAATTATACAGATAATAAATATACAATATTTCTAGTAATATAATATTATAAATTGATTATAAATATTTTTTATTGATGTTATGTATAAAAAATAAAAATAAAATTCAAAAGTAAAATATCACAAGAGTATGTATTTAACTCCGCATCGTACAGCTCCATAGATCAATATTAGAAATCAAGCTATGTAGCCTGGAGAGTCTCTTGTCTTGAATTAAATATTTAAAATAATGTTTTATTGATATGAAATTAATTTAAAACATCAAAATGTGACATATTAATGACTGTTGTGGTATTTTGGTTTTGAGAATAAAAAAACTTTTTTTTTTTTAAAGGTTCACCCAAGGTGTCGAACCTGGGGCAATCGTTCTTGGTTTTGCAACGAAAGTATAATATTTTACATAAATATAGGTCAATTATTAATTTTTGTTACATTTATGATCCAATAATTGGAGATCAAACTTTTTATAAACAATTTTTTAAATCAATAAAATTTAATCCTTATTCCTTATAAATTCATCTATAGCCATTCTTTATACTATAAATTTGTCCCCATATATATATATAAGATTAAAGACATTCAACTATAAAAAAAAATATGATAAAAGTTAAAAAGAAACCAATGAGACCATCACGAGACTACCACGTGGCACAAATATGAAAAATCTACAGAAACCAAATCTCACAGATAAAATATCTGAGGAAACCAGGGAAAACGTACTTTTTAAGCGCAAAAAAAAAAAAAAAAATATCAAAGCTTCAAACAAATCTAAAGTCCATGTGAAAACAAAAGAGAGATCCTTCACACAAAGTCAGTCAGGACTCAGGAGTCACGTTTCGAGTTCTGCATAACACCTGATTCGATCAAAAGTCCCGCATCTGAATCCCTCTCGTTTCGGAATTGGAATCCGTTTTTCTCCCAATTTCCTGGGGATCCTTCAGTTTTCTCGTTTTAGCAATTTCTGATCCTCTGAGATTTGGTAGAGCCGAATTCTGGATAAGGGTGCTTGGGTTCTCGCAAGAACATGACGGGACCGCCACCGGATTTGTCGGTCGAGCAAGAACAGGATGATCCAGATGGGTTCGTCGAGATTGACCCGAGTGGTCGTTACGGTCGGGTTTGTGTCGAATTTCACCTCATTTGATCTCAAAGCGTTGATTTTGCCCACCTTTTGATAGTTCGTGTGATTTTCCCCAAATGGGTTTCCTTATTAGTCGCTGCTGTCGATTGTCAACGTGTTTCCATTAATTTTGCAGTATAAGGAGGTTTTAGGAAGAGGAGCTTTCAAGAAAGTGTATCCTTTTCATGCTTTGATCCATCGGCCTGGCTTGTTTACCAGCTAGACCCGGTTGATATTTCAGAGTTTTAGCACTTTCCTTGTACAATTAGGGTTTTGTTCTGTTCTGTCCATGAAATGAGTAAAATGTTTCATGTCCTTGATTAGAGCTTGCCAAATTCAGATACAGAGCGTTTGATGAACTGGAAGGAATAGAGGTGGCATGGAATCAGATCAAGGTAGCTGATCTGTTGCGTAATTCGGTGGATATGGAACATCTATATTCAGAAGTTCATCTTCTCAAGACTCTGAAGCACAAGAATATAATAAAGTTTTACCATTCATGGGTTGATTCAAAGGACGAGACCATCAACTTCATCACTGAAATTTTCACCTCGGGAACTTTACGACAGTGAGTTTCTATATCCGGTGATTTTCCATCATCTCTGTCTGTAATGCCTGGCTTTTGTCTTTATCTGAAGGCATGATTTTCCGATCGTGGGCAGGTATAGGAAGAAGCATAAGCATGTTGATTTGAGGGCATTGAAGAAATGGTCTCGACAGATTCTAGAGGGTCTTACTTATCTTCACGGTCATGATCCTCCTGTGATCCACCGAGATCTGAAGTGTGATAATATCTTCATCAATGGCAACCAGGGCGAAGTCAAAATTGCAGATCTTGGTTTAGCTGCCATTTTGCACCAAACTCATTTAGCCCGTAGTGTTATCGGTGAGCGGTTTCCCTTTTCTTGTTGCCTTTCTAATGCTTCGTGGTATTGGAACTTTTTGGGTTATGATCATCGATTTTGTTAGGTACGCCGGAGTTTATGGCACCCGAGCTTTACGAAGAGGAATACAATGAGCTTGTTGACATTTACGCTTTCGGGATGTGCCTGCTCGAGTTGGTGACATTTGAATATCCATATGCCGAGTGTGCCAATGCTGCTCAAATATACAAAAAAGTAACTTCGGTAAGTAAAGTTCGTGTTTTTTTCATTAGAATCCTTCCGAGTCTCACTGCCGACTTCTCATGATCGTTTCCATTTTCAATAATGTTAGGGAATAAAACCAGCTTCACTTGCAAAGGTCGAGAATCCTGAAGTCAGAATATTTATAGAAAAGTGTATTGCCAAAGTGTCTGACCGATTAACTGCCAAGCAACTTCTGGAGGACCCGTTTCTGCGTTCGGATGATGAGTCGGAAGTCATAGGTCATCATCCTCTGCCTTCCAATACCCGTCACTCAGGTAAAAAAAATTTACCCTCTTGCATGGCTTACAGTCCATAGCTGTTTGATGGTAACTTTTGGCTCGAGAAATTGCAGATACCGGCAATGTATTGAATGCATCGGAAAATGCTGCTACAGCTGAGTCTGGTATAGATTTGACAGTACAAGGGCAAAGAACAGATATGAACACTATATTTCTGAAACTGCGAATACCCGATTCCACAGGTTCCATTACTTACCTTCCTATATGTGTATATCTCTATTGACATCTCTTGAAAGCACATTCAGAATAGTTTTGCTTGTCTCAGGTCATCTTCACAACATTCATTTCCCATTCAATACCGAGGCAGATACACCGACCTCTGTTGCTTCTGAGATGGTGGAGGAGCTTGACCTGACTGACCAAGATGTTTCAACTATCGCTGAGATGATCGAGTCCGAGATAAGATCCCACATTCCAGACTGGGCATCGATAGGATCCAACGAAGAAAATCCCGATGGAACTGCTGCAAATCCATATGATCGTGAAACAGGGGAAGACGATAATTCTCCTGCCCCGAGTGATAAATCTACCTTGAGCGCGGAGACTAATTCACCTTATGCATTTTCAGTGGAAACACTTCCGTCTGGTAGGACCTACTGCTCTTTGGGCAAAGCCGAAAACGAAAACTCTCTAAGAAAGCATCATGCCTCAGAGTTATCATCGGATGCTGGCGCCATTGGGCACGAAGACAGCTTAAACAAACATGTTCAGAATGGACATACTTCAGATGATTGCAAGGAAAAGAAGAGTGATGGAGATGAGGGCAGCGAAATGCGAACTGGGATGGAGATGGAGATCAAGAATTTAGGGAGCAAACTCGAGAAATTATTAGTGAAGCACGAGGAGGAGCTGAATGAGTTAACGAGGAAGCATGAGCTTGCTGTTTCAGAACTCCTTCAAGAGCTCCCACCAGACACCCTTCAGAAGGTTCTGTCTGTCTGCTGCAAGTCAAAAGTTGTTGAATTCAAACGCTAGGGCATGACCAGGTCAACGTTTACTACAAGAAACAAGTGAGAGTTCTAACAAGGGTTTGAGAGTCAATGCAAAGATTCCCTCTTTCTTGGTTTGTTTTCTGGGTTTGATCCGATTCTTGTCACGGAAACACTAGAAACTTTGTACAGAACAAAGAGGATAATCTTGAGTCACTGAGAATCTCATATGGGGTATTATCAAAAACAAGTTTTCAGATTGTTAGTCACTTAAAGGAGGGGTTTGTTTCTCTTCATTGTAAATTGCACACCAGATTGTTGTTCAGATCTGGCACGTATACAGGATCAAAGCACAATCAAATCTCCTTTGATAAATACAATGAAACTACAAATGGGTCTCAAGTACCATATGATCAGGTGCTTCTGCTTCAACACTTATATTGTCCCTAAAGTTTGGACCTTTAGTAAATGCATAGTGATAAGCCGGAAAGCATGATAAACCTTTCAGCACTAGTGAGATTAAAAAATTTCTCGTCCGGAGAATTATTCTAGCGGGAACATCTTGGTTGTTGAATTGGCATTACTCTTATACGTCTACCTTCTTAGTCAGGTAACCCGTCGATGGCAGGTTCGAGATCAAGTACACCTCCAACACTATATGATACTACTTGTTACTTCATCCCTGGTTTGTAATGATCCATACTAATCCCAGAACATTATAACTCTAACTTCCATATCAT